ACCCCCTCCACGGGTGGCAGCCACCCGGGGGGGGGGGGAGGACTCCCAATTGTGGAAAAATGAAGAAAGTGCCAGGGGATGCGCGACGCCGTTGCGCACCGCCCGATATTTTTATTTTTTATTTTTTATTTTTGATTTTTTTTTTGGGATTTATTCCCGAGGCGAGGGGTGCCGACACCCGACCCCTGGGACCCCCGCCGGGGCCCCCCGGCCGGGGGTTGACAACACTACCATCAGGTACCACAAAGTGGGGGTGGACCTCGCAGCGCTTGCCAGATTTGAGGATGGGGTTCGAAAGGGCTACTGTCTGAATGGGAAGCTAGTCAGCATCCAACCCCGCGTCTTGGAGGCAGCAAGGCCAATCCCGACCGTTCAGTTTTTAGGAGAACGATCCCCGAAGGTAGTGTGTGAAAGTATAAACCCGTAGGCAAGAAGACCAAGCCGGTCTCGATCCTAGTAGAAACGTCAAAGGAAGAGGCCATGGAGAAAGAGGAGGAAATCTTGCGGGTAATAAGGGAGAGGCGAGCAACGGAAGGGCATCGCATACCAGATGAGGTAGCACACACCATGGAAATAGGAGTGGAAGGGTTTCTAACAACGAAAGAAACTCAATTGATAAGAAAGGCATGCCAGGAGTTTCATTTAGCTTTCACTTTCAACGATCATCACAAAGGGCGATTGGACACAAAGCTAGTTCCCCCTGTCAGGATCCACACCGTACAGCACGAGTGTTGGAATGATAAAGGGCCCGCCTCTGAGTTTGGGATAGCAGCGGAGGTCACCGACCTACTTGGAGCCAAAATAGATTCTTTCGTGGCTGAACCCACCACATCTCCCTACGCGAACAAGTGGTTCGTGTTCAGGAAGCCCAATAAGACGCTCAGGTGGATCCAGAACCTGCAGAAGCTCAATCCGGTAACAATCAGGGACGCAGGGTCGCTTCCACAAGCCGACTTGTTGGCGGAATCTCATGTGGGGCGGAGTATTTACTCCCTGGTAGACTTGTACTCAGGATATGATCAGTTGCCGCTCGATGCGAGGGATAGACCGTACATCGCAATGCACACCCCGGTAGGACAGCTGCAGACGCAAGTGACCCCTATGGGCTTCACAAATGCGGTAGAAGAAGCTCAGAGGAGGATGCTCGCCGTCGCAGGAGATATGTTTCCGGAAAAGTGTGAACCATATATAGATGATAATCCCGTAAAAGGAGCAAGGTACAAAGACGAGACGGAGGTTGAGCCGGGCGTACGAAAGTTTGTTTGGGACCACCAGCAGGATATTAAGGACCTACTCGAACGCTTCCTTGTTTACAATATTACTGCAAGCGAACCCAAGAGCATCCTGGTCGTCTCGGAAGTAACCATACTGGGATTTCGTTGCGGAGCTCATGGGAGGAGACCCGATCCAGCAAAGACTGATAAGATCTTTCAGTGGCCGACACCCCTGCGTACCACGACGGAAGTACGAGCATTCTTAGGGGTGGTTGGCTTCTAGAGGATCTTCATCAAAGGTTTCGCAAAGACAGCAGAACCCATCCGCGCGATGATGAGGGAAGGTGGCACTATGGATTGGACAGAGGATAGGGAAGAGGCAGCCCAGACCCTGAAAGACATCCCGTCGTCCGATCAGGTCACGTTAGCAGCACCCTGTTTCAATGACGAGGTAGGACGATCCTTCATCTTAGAAACAGATGGGGGACCATTTGCAGTGGGAGGAGTATTGATACAGAGAAGTGAGGAGGGAAAAGAAAGACCAATCAGATTTGAAAGTAGGACCCTTAATTCAGCAGAACGACGGTATTCGCAGTTCAAGAAGGAGGTCTTAGCAATTCTGCATTGTCTTAAGACCTTCGAGGCATACCTGTTCGGAAGGCAATTCATCCTAAGGATCGATCCCACCAACGTTGTCGGAGCCCTAAAGAACTACAAGCCCATAGACCCGACTGTCAGCAGATGGATAGGCTTCATATGGAAATTCGATTATAAGGTCGAGCGAATTGCAGGGCTTCGAAATAGGGCAGATGGGTTGAGCAGGGTTTGTATCATGCTAGAAGGAGTAGAGGACGCAGAACCAATTGACGCCTTCCTAGAGTACGAAGGAGGGACCCTTGTCGTGGACAATGAGATGGCAGATCCTGCAATTACAACAGGACAGTTGCTGATTCAGACCCTGGAAAAGTTCGCACTTGTAGTAGTTGCAGAACTCAGGGAAGGACAAGTCACCACGGGCAGGCGCAAAGAGGAAAAAGACTTGTGGGGAGCAGAAGTAGAGGCTAGAGAGGAATTGATGGCAATGACCGTGGAAGGGGGACGGGACACTGTAATGACATTGGCCGAAACATGGGCGCAGAAGGAGTGTCAGTACCTAGTCAACCTCACTCGGGAGGAGCAGGGTGCGGATCAGAACGAACAGGAATTCTTTCTAATACAAATGTATGAGGGCGTTTTCAAAGAAATCGGGTTGCTGCTTGTCCGGAACAAACAACCCACGGAAGTCAGTCCCAAGGCAAGGGACGAAGTATTAAAGTACGTCCTAAGAAATGACCACTTGTTCAAGAGAGAGGAAGGGATGATACCTAGGCGTGTCGTTTGTGGGAGGTCTAGGTAGCTGGACGTAATCCAGGCAATGCATGACGGACTAGCTGGAGGTCACCGGTCGTCTAAGGGGACACTTGCAAAGATCGTGCCCCTGTACTTTTGGCCAGGGATGGCAGGCATGGTCGCAACGTATTGTCAAACGTGTCTGATATGTCAAGAAAGGAGCGTTGTACGAGTTTACGAGCCCCTTAGACCCACCCGGGTACTGGGACCCGGACACCTTGTTCACCTCGACCTTGCCGTTATGCCCGTATCAATGGATGGGTTTAGATACATCTTGGATGCAAGAGATAATCTCAGTGGCTTTGTGGAAGTCATAGCCCTCAAGAAGAAGATGGGGAAAGCGGTGGCCGACTGGGTGGAAGATTTCAACCTCAGGCACCCCTTCGTGCGCAGGTTTATAGCAGACAATGGGACATAATTCGTTAACCAGGAAGTGTTGAACAGGCTTAAGACACTGTGTGTACCGATCAAGATCACCGAGCCCTACCATCCTGAGGCAAAGGCACCAGTAGAAACGGGTCACCCGACTTTGAAGAACACAATCGCAAAGTTGGCAGCAGATAATTTGGGAAGTTGGCCACGGTTTCTCAAGCAGGCAGTTTTAGCCGAGAACATGACTCAAAAAAAAAAAACGGGATGTATTCCAGCAGAACTCTGGTATGGAAGGGAGATCGGTTTTCCGATAGAAGCTTTGGTCCCTACCTGGAACAGGCTAGATGACGATCCACACTTGAGCACGGAAGAGTTAATCACCGCACGTTGTCAGCAGGTCGCCAGGAATGAGGAGGCACTCGAGGAAGTAGTCAATCGGGTGACGGACAACCGAATGAGGGATAAAGCAAGATGGGACCAGGTTAAGAACATTCGGAAGGAGCCACTCCAAGTGGGGGAAAAGGTGCTAATTAGGAACTCGACTCTTGAAAGCACATGGTCCGGGCAGCTGGGAAAAAGATTTGAAGGGCCCTACAGGATCGCTAAGCGGGTGGGACTGAATACGTTTGAACTTGAGGATCTCGATGGTACTAGCATAAGAGGTCCATTTCCGGGACAGAGATTGGTCAGATTTTTTAGCAGGGACCCGGTGGAACAGTGGCTAYAAGAGGCCCAGGACAGGGAAACTGGAGAACTGACAGCCTGAAAGGYAGGCAGCTGGCTATAAGTTCWGGACCGCCTCCCTGTGGGAGTGATCATGATCACGGGGATTGTTCATTTGTGTGTCTTGACTTTTATGGAACATGGGGAGACTGCCTCGGCTGACTGTAACTGGGCCTGGGAGCACGGGACAGTGTCTTATAGTTTTTGTGGGGTAACGCTGGGGACTGTCTACGCGAGGTACTTATGGGTTGGGACAATGTACCATAGYTTTTGGGGTAGGGGGGGTGATGCTGTAGACTGCCTACATGGGGCACCTATGTGTTRGGMCAACATGTCGAGGGTTCTAAGGGATAATGGGGCTACCAACTATGTGGGGGCAAGCAAGAGTTCCGGGGGAACTCCCAAAGCTGAGAATGGGAAAGGGACGGAGTGTGTGTGCATGAGGGGTATGAGACTGTTATCCATGAACAGGGTCAGGCAAGAAAGAAGCCAGCAGGAGGAAAACAACAAGATGGAGTTTGGAAATGAGAACGACAACAATGCAATTAACAGGTCGGAAGAGGGAGAGTCCTCAAGACAAGCCGGAGAATCAAGCTCCAGGAAAAGGAAGTTGTATGTGGGGTTCGATCACAACCTAGTTGTGAACAGGGGAGGCAGGAAGCAAGGAACCAGGGGGCCATCGCCGCTAAAGGAAGAGGAGCCAATAGAATTGCCATCAGACAGTGACCTTAGTAGCAAGGAAGAGGGGAACCCGGAAAAAAGGCGAAGGATGGAAGAGGGGAATCTAGAGGAGGGGCAACAGCCGGGAGAGAATGAGCCAGTTGAGTTCATCGACCTCACCACCGATGAGGAGGAGGATGAAGTGACAACGCCTACTAGGGAAGAACGGGGGAGAGGGGAGCAACCGGGTGAGAAGAAGGATAAATGAATAAAAGAGTTCGGATATGAGTTCAGCAATTGGTTTGATCAATGGGGCACCATCTTGCGATACCAATCGATTATGAAGGCAAGGGAAAAGTTGGGCAGGGGAGAGGATCTATCCCAACAACGTTCTTCATAGAACAGACGCTCCTCCAATTCCAAGCAATAAAGAGGCAATTGGAGCAGGAAAGAGAGCATCGCGCAAGGAGGGAGGCTCAACGCAGACCACCTGGACGATAGAGGCACAACAGTCTCTATCTTTGTGGAAGGGTTTGGTTCCGGGGTAGTCAGAGCTGCCATTTTGGATTTCGCATTGAAACTCTTTTGAATTTTCTAAGCCCGAAGTGACTAGGGACTGGGTTGTTAGCGCTAGTTCGTACAAACGGTTGCACCCTAAAGGAAAAGGCATGAGGGCTTTACACTTAAAATAGAATTTGGGATGGCTGGGTAGATTAAAGGAAAGAAAAATGGAAAACAACGGGGATCTAGACGAAGACGAGTCTGTAATGTTTGTCTTTGCATTCGAACTCTGTCTCTTTATTTTTTCGTCTAAAGACTGTAAGGAAACTACTTTTGGGGAGTAAGAAAGTTATTAGAGGGTGGGTGATCAAGGTTACTTTGTATAAGTATTTGCTCCGTTTGGAAAGTATGAGTTTTTTTTTTTTTCGGTAGTAGGAAACGGACTTTGGGGATGATTGACTTTGCCTCAAGAAAATAGGCAGGGGCATGTGAACTCTTGAACATTGGAAGATGCAGTCATGGCGATAGTTCCTGGTCCTAATCAGGCTGCCCAATTGAAATGGATAAGGATGGTCCTAACCAGGCTGTCCGATTGCAATGGATAAGAATGGCCTAACCAGGGTGTTCGACTTGGAAGTGGAAAGAACAACCCTAACCAGGTTGTTCGGAATGACCCCTGACAAGGGTCATTCTTTGGAATTGGCACTAGGGTCCCCTTGCATGGTTGATTGTGAGGCATGAAATTGGAAGAGTTGAGCCCTGGAAAAGAGATTGGAAGAACTCAGCCTTGGAAAGGATACTTGACTCGGCCTTGGAAGAGATCTTGGATTGAGCATCGGAATTCGAATGAGCCTTGGAATTAGATTGAGCATTGGAACGAGATTGAGTTTGGGAATGAGACGGCGCATTGGAATTGGGTATTGGAAATGACATTGGATAAACAGGGGACCCTAGGCAACTTGAAATGGACTTGGAAAGAGTTGGAAATGGATTTTCTCTTTCTTCTAGTCTTTGGCCTCAGCAAGAGGGGGATACCGATGCATGCATCGCGACCCCAAGACCTCTGTCCCTATGAGGGAAAACGTCTCAGCGCGACCTGCTCCTCCTTTAAGAGGACGAGGGTTAAAGGACTAAGGCACCTACCACTTGGATTGGTGCGGGACGTCCGGAACCACTTCCGACAATGAGCTCTAGTCGAGGAGTTCCAACTGCGCTTCCTATTGAACGCCTAAATGTCAAAGGGCGAGAGAGCCAAATGGGCAGGAAAGTCATTCTCAGCTAGTCTATTTTGCTACTCTCCAACCACACGCCATGTCATACAGGGGTGGCATGACCGTTTGGGTCGGACGACGGCTGCCCGCACTAAGTTGGGCGACACTCTCCAAGGGGAGAGGCCGGGCGGAGTATCGGGTGAAGTCCGCGGCCACCACGGGGCATTGACACTGCTCTGCCGGAACATTACAACCGTTTCGGGACTAATTGCGAGGTCTTCGTAACTGCACTCGCGGACTAATCGAGAGCCCCAACTCTCTTGAAAGAAAGAGGCCGGAATCCAAAAAATCACCACTCGGGAGGAACGATTAACGAGGAACACTCTTACGACTAGACGAGACCCTGGCAGGCTTGGATTGGACCTACCTGACAGACGTAAGGAGAAACCTTGGTATTGGTGCTCGCCACGTAGGGGAAGAAAGGTCGGACCGAGTAGGAGGATGAGGCGTCGTCCGCTGGGGAGGAACTGATCCCTCTTCCTTTTGTGAAGCGGATGGGCTTGTGTCCTTGACTGCGGTTGGTGGACCAAAGGTCTCGTACCTCCGAGTGAGGACCAGTCGCGCGATGGGGATATCGCGTTTTGAGTGGGGGAAAGGTGTGCCATCTACCAATCAATACGCATGGAAAAAKACTTGTAATTGGTTTTGCATGGGCTTAGGAAAAAGGGGGCCTGTCAAGATGGCCGGAACAGAAAAAGATTGTAATTGGCTTTGCATGGGCCTAAGAAAAGAGGGTCTGGCAAGACGCCAGGGCAGAAAGGACTTGAGCAAGTGACATGGTATGGACCTGAGAAAAAGAGTCTGGCAAGACAACCTAGACGGAAAGGATTGATGAGATTGGTTCTGCGTGGGCCCGAGAAAGGAATTGGAAGATTGGGGAATGGCTGAGGGATTGGCTTGAAAAGGAGGGTCTAGCTAAGGAATGGGTTGAGCATTGCATATAGAAAGATAATCGAGCAGAGGGCAAGTAAGGACAACAGGGTGATATGCATGCGGATTTGGCAGGACTTGAGAAAAGCCGGAAAGAACGGTCAGGGAGGAATGCATGTGGATTTGGCCGTGCTTGAGCTTGGGGAGAAGAAAACTTGCACCGAAAATGTGGGGAGGCCCTAAGAGTAATGAATGGAATGAAACCGGAAGGATATCTGCTCAAGAAATTTTTCTCGATAAAATGGGAAGATAGATTTGAGATTACGAATGCAGCCTTCAAGACATTGTCGGGAGCGAGAAATAACGTACAATGAAAAACTAGATGCAGGACATGTCTGTGGTCAGACTCCTCCAAGGGGCGATGCTAGTCAACTTGATAAGGAAAAGAGACATCAAGCTGCTTAAGCTTCTTGATGTGTTGCTAGCTCGCACCTGGAGGAAGCCATGGCGAATGATCCTTGCGACATTCGCCGCCAAAATCTTCCTCTTACCACTGTCCCTGGGGAGGGTGATGGGCTCGTCGTCCTCTCTTTTGTGGGATGACACCAGAGGATGGTGGGAAACTCTTGGGTATTCGGGAGTTCCGGTGAGAAAGAGATACAGTTGTGAGACGGACGTTGATGCACAGAGAATATCACGCGCTCATTACGAAGACATTATTGAGCTTGGGGACGTTACGCAATTTAAAGGAAACCCGATACAAAACCTTGACCCCTCCAAGCCCTCCCCCGCCCCAAGGGCGCCGCCCCAAGGGCGGAAACTTAAAGAAGGACCCGAGAAAAGAGTGGGAAAGACAAAAAGAACCCTGGCAAGCTAACTACCCATTCCACCCCACCTCTCTTCCCTATCTGTCTATCACTTCAAAAATCCTACTGACCATGGATTGGTGCGCGATGAGGACATCGAGAATGAGTGGGGGGAATATGTCGGGACTGGAGAGTCCCGAATGAATTCCCGTCATTCGAGAGACTATATGACCAATTTGTGCACGACAGAGAACACCGGAGGCAGGTATGCTGGAAAGAGCGGAAGCATGGGCACAGATAGTAAGAGGCTAGAGGCTGCCCGAAGTCGTCCGGACCACCAAACTAGAAAAAGGAATTGTTTAAGTAGGAAGCAGCGAAGGACTGTGAGAGAATAGCAAGGGCGACACTCTCCCCAAGGACGGAGGAGGGGCGTCGGGAAGTTGGTAACAACGTAAGAGGTGCGCAGCGAGGGAAGGGAGAAGTAGGAAGGGACAGGGCGCAAGGCGATGGCGTGACATGACGGCAGGGGGGTCAAGGAGACCGCAGGACAGGTAGGAACCAGCACCCGGAGCGGAACAGCGTGCGGGACGCAATAGGAGCAGAGAGCAGAGATCGCCACAAAAAGGGAGGACGTCAGAGGAACCAAGAAAAGATGTGGCACCGACGGGGCAAAGTGCCGGGGGCCACAGGGCACCAAGAAAAGATGCAGTGCCGAGGGGACAAAGCGTCAAGGGACCACGTAGGACCAGGCAAAAGTATGGTACTACAGCGGGACTAGTAACAAGGACCGTGGGGGACTAAGTAGATGAGTATGGGCCGTCGGAACTACCGACGGGACGGGACAGGTACCATCGGGACCAGCGCCAGGAACTGTCGGCGGAACAAGGGACGTCTGAGCAAGTAAGGACGCGTGACGATCCAAAAGAGGAACAGGCCGCCGTTCAGGATGGCAACAGGAAAAAAGAATGGACTAGGAAAATAATAAGAAAATGAGGAGTCGAACGCCAACGGGAAAAACTGTCGCCGGAACGGAAGAGGCGGGCGCGACACTGGAAAGGCGGGGAGAGCCTGGGAGGTCCCAAGAGAAACCAGATTAAAATATGCTAACGGTAAAAATAAATGCCAAGGGGACGACACCTGAGGGCGGCACCGTCCGGGCCGGGTGGCCGGACGGATACTAAGTGTCGCCACGACAAGCGCAGACGGAGAGCGTCGGGGGGAAGAAAGAAGGGAGTAGCGGCGGCAAGAGGGGTCGGCCAGCGGTCCAGGCTATCCCGGACCAGCCAGGCCAAAGAAGGGGAAGTTTCAAGGGCTCCACGTGGAGAAAAGGCTGGCCGGAGAAAAATCGGAGCAAGGCAGCCTCGATCTGGAAGCGTCGGCAGCAAAAAGGAGCCCCCTTGGACCTTGGGGGTGCCATTACAGCAGTCAGGGGTGTAACGACCATATGCCGGCTGCAAAATCAGACCTTGGGAAAGGTCCAACAGCCAGAAAGAGAACAGATAGTTGTTGGACACTTGTCCCAACAGTAATGAGAGAAAGAGGGGAGAGGACACGGGAAGAATGAGACAAAGGAGGAGGAAGGAGTGGAGGAAAAAGTGCCGCCAGGTTGGGACTGCAGCAGTAGGGATGGGCAGGTCCCAATGATGACCTCATCCCTCCTAGATCCGAGGAGTGCAGTCCGGATTGCAGAGATAAGGTCCTTTGGCATTATCTCTGCAATAACTGAATTTAAGCAACAAAAATAAGAAAAAATGTTGATGTGAGTTGGCCGGCTCATTTTTGGGCCTTAGATCTGAGATCTGATCTTTCGGAGGAGGAAATCGAGCCATTTTTTGTGGGTTGACACAAAACGGCTAGGTCCAGAACAAGACAAAACTGCGAATTTGGCCCAAGATTTGGGCCAGGTACATCAAAAAAATTGAAAAGGCTCAAATTTGGGGCAAGGGGAGCTTGGGAGTGGCTCGGAATGATGAGGACTATAGATCTCAGCCGGATCA